GCAATATGTCGGCTCAATCCGCGGCGTGCTTCACGTTGTTCGTTGCGATGATGAGTTGGGAGGCACGAGGTCGCAACCATCCCTCATCCGCAGTGGATGGGAGACGCATCGATTTTACATCAACGGATTTAAGCAGCCAATGCGTAAGATGAGGTACTCCACTGCAGACCAGCATGATCACAGACCTCACGACCCGTAATGCTCCTTCTACTTAATCGCAGCCTTAGCACTGCAATGGGAACCGCTGGGACAACTCTGAGAATACGGACCGCTCGTCAAAATCTTGAAAAGACACTGATTGAGTCAATCGAGACAAAGAGCGTCCCACAATGGCCGATGCTTTCTCTGTGTACAGTAAATTTAGATTGTACGCGCGCACATTTTGATATTTGTGCGATACACATTTAACCTAGCAAGGTACACATTTAACCTAGCAAGGGGTCGCCCGTCCGAGAAAACGGCGCGTTGTGTGTGCACAACGCGCCGTTTGCGTGTCACAAAATCCCAATTTGGTCAACACATTTTGCGATTTTAGAATTGCAGGAGTCGCCCAGCCCCTGTACAACATTATTGTATTATCTTAAAGTGACATTCTTGTACCGGGGATTACTGTATCCATCTGGGATGCCTAACTTGGCAGCTAGATACAGGGTCATCCCACGTCTGTCCGATACGGATCTATTAAATGGCGAGAATGCGTGTTTGCAGCGTTTCGAAGTTGGGACCAAGTGCAACGGAAACTTGAAAAGCAGCATATAAACAGCAGGTCCCTCCGCTATTTTACCGCTTATCCACTCTTTGATCCCATCTGGAAAAAGGTATCAGAGTTTAGCTGAGTGAAGGCCAGCATGAAGTTCCTCATCTGTATGACATTAACTTTGATCGTTGTCGCCCTCATCGACGGTACTTTTGTTCGCCTGGTTCATCACGACCATTGCTCGGACAGGTGTGTTTCAACCTCAGCAGCTCGAAAGGAGTGCCGTTTAAAATCATCCTGCACACTGAATGATTGCCGCCTCAGCAAAGGGAGGCGTAGGAAGCGTTGTTCTCCGAAGGTTGTCGCGCCCCCGCCTCCGCCTCTGCCGAAGCACTCTTGCCCCTCGAAGTGTCTTAGTCAACGTAGAGGTACCCGACAATGCAAGCAGTCCATTTACCGTAGCCATTGTGTGCTTGTGTCGTGTACTCGGACTGTTCGAGGTCGTTCTCGCCCTGGTGTGAAGTGTGTGCCAAAAGTAGTTATCCCGACCCCGAGACCAAAAGTCTGTCCGGAGCAGTGTGGTTCCCGTCGCAGTGCGCGGAGGCAGTGCAGAAAGCTCCTGTCGATTTGCGAAGTTAGAAAGTGCATGCGCTCTCGTGGAGAAGTGAAGCATGGATACATTTGCACTCGAGATGATGTGACGACAAGTCCGCCCACGACTACTACTACCACGACGCCGACGACGACGAACACAGAGTCGACAACGACTACCACGACGCCGACGACGACGACGAACACAGAGTCGACAACGACTACCACGACGCCGACGACGACGACGACCACAGAGTCGACAACGACTACCACGACGCCGACGACGACGACAACAACAGAGTCGACAACGACTACCACGACGCCGACGACGACGACGACCACAGAGTCGACAACGACTACCACGACGCCGACGACGACGACAACAACAGAGTCGACTACCACTACCACTACGACGACGACATCGTCTTGCCCGGATTGTCCTCCCGGAGAGTTCATCACATTTGACGGGGCGTGTGGTTGTTCCACAGACGCTTGTGACGCGTGTCCAGACGGGACCGGATGTCAGACAGCGGAAGATGCCTCAGGATCAGACGTGATGGTGTGTATCGCCTGCGACTGCGGTTATTGTGACTCAAACGATGTTCCTTGCTGTAGAAGCAACGCGAATGGAGTTAATTGCGTCCCCAACACGCCTGCCACTCAGCGCGAATGTCAAGTTGGCAGCTTTGACATTTCTATTGTCGGAATGAGTAATGCCAACGTATGTCGCGGCGAGGAGAAACCTTCCACTGAAGTTGTGAACACTTGCGGATGCGTTCCGAGTAATGTGGAAGCGTGTTCGCTACCTGCGAACACGAGTGGAAACTGCTTTGTGGAAAGGGTATAGTAAGCAGATGCACTGGAACAAGTCGATCGTGAAAGACGATGAAGTGCAATAGAAGTGTAAGATGAAATAAAGGAAAGCGCCCTAATCCGTTAGTTTGACGTCGCAAGGATTAAGAACTTGTGCGCAGAGGCGAAGCTCACTTACATGACCAAGTACGTGACTCTCGACGGCATGGCATACTCTATTAGCTCCCCGGATTAATAAAAAGGCCGTTGTCACGACTCATTGTGATGAGCAAACTGCAGTCTTGCAGGGTGTCGTGAAGAGGTAGTTGCACATAACACGGGCGATTTTATTTCAATATGCGCGTACGTTCAAACGGCTACACCTAGTTCCGTCACGAAGAAACGAACAATGAGGCAGGCGCGGCGCGTGTACGAAACGGCTGGCAATGGCTGGCACATTTATACAGGCGGGGCATCAACTCCGGCGGAAGCCGTTCACTGCCACAGAACTGCAGCTCGCGACCGTAAGCCTAGCACACAACATGGGGGACCGCAAGCCCAGCCGGCATCAGCCGAGCAGCGGGCGAAAGACATCTCCCCGCGACCTGGCAATGCATTCCAGCACGAGCCGCCAACAAACCATGCGACCGGAAGGGCGAGCCCCGCACACAGACACAGACGCCGTTTCCCACAGACCCAGCCGACTTCGGCCAGCGATGGCGGCCCGCAACGAGCGCAGCCTGCGACTGACGCTTGCGGTGCGCAAAACTCGGTGGCGTGACCAACGCTCAAAACTGCGGATGTGGGGGCCGCGTTTCCTACCCGTGGATGCAGGAACCTATGCTTTGGTGGCCTTGACGGCGGCGACGATATCGGCAGGCTCTGCGCGCTTGGAGTAGTCGATGTTGGCGAAGGAGTAGATGACCTTCCTGTCCTTTGTGACGACAATGGTGGCCGGGATGGGGAGGCGTGTGCCTTCATGCCGCCCTTGTTGCCGTTCATCCCTAACAACCCTACTGTAGGCGTTCGTAGGCTACCCGCAATGCGATCGGAGGACCAGGGGTAACATTGTTACAATCGTAGTATTTACCTACAGTAGTACTGTACTAGGTAAATACTACGAAGGGTACCTAGTACCCTCCCTTCTCACAGGCTCAATGTGGGACGCATAAGAAGTTATGATAAATATGCGAATGCAGTGCGTATTCGAAGAAAATTGCCTTTATTTGGACGGGAGAATTGGTCTCCAAAGTGTGCCGGGGTCAAAGTGGGACGGCGAGAAATTTCATGTCTTGCACGCTTCATCTGTAATGGGAGAGACCCAACAAAGCCGACGCTGCCGTGTGCTTGCGGGTCCTTAACAACTCGCCTTCCTCAACCTGCATCCGCTGTTTTCGGGCTCTTGGCCATTGCGAAATTGGCAAGTCGTCGCAAACTATGTCTTCGAGAGGCGACACCGCAGACTGCGCTTTCAGACGTTTCTGAGAGTCAATATTTTTTTTGTTTGCAGTATCATTCTCTACATTAAACTCCTGAATGTGATAAACGTTGGGTACGGGCGCTTTTGGAGGATTCCGCCCCTCCAAACGAGCACGAACGGACTGCAAATTGCCAACCGTCGCTGCGTTTCCTGTTGCGAGGAATTTTCTATTAAATTTCTTAGGTGTGGGGTTCTTTGACAGGCATATATTCTTTCTCAGAATGTTGCGCAACACAGAATCATTGTTGAGAGTGACGGACACCTCTGCAAAAGGCATGAGCAGAAAACTGACCGTTTGTAAGAGCATGTGAATATGTTTCATCAAACGAATATATTTAATTCGTTGCGAAATAGTTTAGCAAAATCATATGCGCGAAACTGACGGTGGAGCGCGGTTAGGGGGGGGGGGGTGGTGTGGGTTTCACTATGTATCCTCTCGTGGAACGGAGAGCGATAATAGGGACTGCACGTCTCGTAGCACGGAGGCGCGGCGAGAGAATGAGCGAGGTGCGCCTCGATCCACTCGGCTACCCGTAGGACAGGGTGGAGTGGCGAGTGATTTCGCGGGTGTTGTGGTTCTGCTTTACGGTTGGAGATGATCGGTCGCCCCCTCTCCCGGGGGCGGGAGTCGCAGTCTACGTCTAGCCTAAAGCCGTCGGGGGATCCCACCTGGTCGGCGACAGTGAGATGGAATCACCGATAGTTCGGCTTGTGTCGGTCGTGTCCGTGCTGCACATTTGTTCCGGGGTGGACACGTGTCATGTGTACAGCAATGACGGGGGGGGGGCTAAGTGAGGATGGAGTGTCGAATGAGCCTCATGAACAGAAACTATGCGGCGCGGCATAATAATTTTGGTGTCACAGTTTGAGCCTTGTCACAGATTGAGCCTGTGAGAAGGGTACTGTACTAGGTAAATACTACGATTGTAACAATGTTACCCCTGGTCCTCCGATCGCATTGCGGGTAGCCTACGAACGCCTACAGTAGGGTTGTTAGGGATGAACGGCAACAAGGGCGGCATGAAGGCACACGCCTCCCCATCCCGGCCACCATTGTCGTCACAAAGGACAGGAAGGTCATCTACTCCTTCGCCAACATCGACTACTCCAAGCGCGCAGAGCCTGCCGATATCGTCGCCGCCGTCAAGGCCACCAAAGCATAGGTTCCTGCATCCACGGGTAGGAAACGCGGCCCCCACATCCGCAGTTTTGAGCGTTGGTCACGCCACCGAGTTTTGCGCACCGCAAGCGTCAGTCGCAGGCTGCGCTCGTTGCGGGCCGCCATCGCTGGCCGAAGTCGGCTGGGTCTGTGGGAAACGGCGTCTGTGTCTGTGTGCGGGGCTCGCCCTTCCGGTCGCATGGTTTGTTGGCGGCTCGTGCTGGAATGCATTGCCAGGTCGCGGGGAGATGTCTTTCGCCCGCTGCTCGGCTGATGCCGGCTGGGCTTGCGGTCCCCCATGTTGTGTGCTAGGCTTACGGTCGCGAGCTGCAGTTCTGTGGCAGTGAACGGCTTCCGCCGGAGTTGATGCCCCGCCTGTATAAATGTGCCAGCCATTGCCAGCCGTTTCGTACACGCGCCGCGCCTGCCTCATTGTTCGTTTCTTCGTGACGGAACTAGGTGTAGCCGTTTGAACGTACGCGCATATTGAAATAAAATCGCCCGTGTTATGTGCAACTACCTCTTCACGACACCCTGCAAGACTGCAGTTTGCTCATCACAATGAGTCGTGACAACGGCCTTTTTATTAATCCGGGGAGCTAATAGAGTATGCCATGCCGTCGAGAGTCACGTACTTGGTCATGTAAGTGAGCTTCGCCTCTGCGCACAAGTTCTTAATCCTTGCGACGTCAAACTAACGGATTAGGGCGCTTTCCTTTATTTCATCTTACACTTCTATTGCACTTCATCGTCTTTCACGATCGACTTGTTCCAGTGCATCTGCTTACTATACCCTTTCCACAAAGCAGTTTCCAC